TTTTTTTTTTTTTTCTGTCGCACCTTGGTGTTGCGGATATTCCATTTCACCGGAAAATAGAAGAAACTCAAGTTCGTGAATATTTCACAGCTGGGCAAAACTTTGATGCATCTCGAAAAATATTCCATTTGCAGTGCGAATTTTTCTTCGCGGAGGAGGAGAGGGAAAATACGATGTCGGTTGAATATGTTTGTTCTGTTAGCGCGACGAGCAAAGTATTTTCTCGTCAGGATGCAAACAACAAATGGCTCGGAACTTCCATGCAGATTATAGATAGCTCATGCCTCGTAGCTCGGAACTTTCTTTCCGCGAAAATGTACCACGCGACCTACCCCTATAGTTGCCCAGCTACCAAAGAATTATTGTTGGCAACAGTGACGTTTAATACCGCGAGTGGTTCTACCCGGTTATCTGGCTGTTACGAGCTGTTGTCTCCTCTCGGCTAGAATACGACCAGTTATTATTCCTGATATTATGGCGGAAACCAAGGCGTCGGATTAAGGCACGTCGTCAAAAGAGAGAATGCAAACTCCCTTGTGTACGATGCAAATCTGCCGGTGGGTTAACATAACTTTTATACGCGAAACCACACGGCGTGAGCGTGCAACGAAGGGAAAGGAACGAAAATTACGATTTGCATACGTGTGCGTGTTGGTTGAGCCACACACGTTAGGACGATGACGAGCCATTAAACGTACAGAGAAGAGTCAGGAAGCGGAAGTCGCGGTGGTGTTTACGTTTGAACGCCGGCGTGCAAACTCAGCCGAGTTGTCCGGCAATCTTTAAGCGTTCGGCAATGCTAGCATGAACTTTGTTACCAAACGTTTACGGTAACTGTCCCGTGTAAACGTTTGCAGACGTCGTTTTCGGGCTCTATCGGGTCGCTAATTCCTGATCGGAACATCGTCGGAGATTTGCATATCCAGTTGTCGCCGGAAATTTACCGACTCGCTCGTAACCTGTCCGGCAAGCAGATCGATCTGTTTGTTTACCACGCCACTTCTACTAGTTACAACCGAAGTGTGATCGGAGCCGCGAGATCGAAAACGACGAGAAGCATCGAGATCAGCTTAATTGCTCGGCAATTCGGTTTCGTCGAAAGTTCTCACTTTCTCGCTCCTCTCTCGGCCAGAAGTATGCGATGAATTTTTGATAACGGGAAGAACCGAGCTAGGAAAGTTTTGTCTTGCAAAAAAAGGGGGAGAGGAGATATAAAACGATCCCTCGTCGAGAGAAGATTCTCCGTGTCTTCGTATTTTAAAATATAGCATATATATCACGATTATATTAGCATACTGACGAGAATATGAAATAAAGATGAGAAATCTTTGGGAAAATTATGTGACAACTTTTGAGAATTATTTCACTCAGGATCGTGGATTATTATATTTGATGTTGGAAAGATAATCTCATTGATAGATTGGAAATTCTTATGGACAGTTAGAGATCCGTTTTACCAATTGAAAATCATAGTTTAAAGACATTCTACCTTCATTATGGTGTGCATTCTGTGCATTTTTGTATTTTTAAATTAAATGCATTAAAATCCACCATTAGTTTCCTAATTGAGATTGATTTTTTTTTTTCTTACATATATTTGTTGCAATTTTTGATAAACTTCTTCATCAATTTTGATATTCATCCTATGCTACATACTTAAATACTACATATATACTACATAAAAGTTTGTTGTTATTCCATGTGTAATATAAACACATGGAATTTTGCAATTCAAATGCAGTTTAGATATTGAACAGCACTTCTTGGAATTTTTTATTTAAATGTTGCCTTGAATTATTTCAATAGAATTTATATAGTTCAAGAGACGTGAAAAACTAAGTATAATTACAATTTATTATATCATTACAACTCTTGCAAATAATACCAACTACTTTCCTGTATGTGTATTTTATTGCAATCTTGCATGAATACGATATTCTGATCAACTAATCGTTTCCCTAATTAATTAAATTAATTCCGCATTCGAACGACTAAAGTTTTAATATTTTAATATAAATAAATACTTCTAACAAATGTAAATGTATTATTTAAGTAGCTATTTCATCTCTGAATGCATGAACAGTCTCTTTAAATATCGTTTTTATTTGTTTTCCTTCGACATTTTAATTGGAACATATTTCCTTTTTGATAAAAATAGTTTCATAATTTTTGAAAACTGCGTCAAATTTTTTATAGCATACATTATCAAATGTTAACTCATTGTCGTTAAAAGTTTCTGGGATTTTGAAAAAAATTCATAGATTTTGTAATAGCATATATATTACATACGATATTTCCTTGTCATTTCAATCTGAAAAAACGTTTCCTTCTCGATGAAGTATGTTTCACAATCTTTGAGAATTACATAAAGATACAATTTCGTTGTAATAAAAATTAGAATGTATACTTCTAAACTGTAGAATGTTACAACGAAATCGTATCGTGG